TGAAGTCACTGGCAAGTGAACTGAGACATGTTGGTAGGTGTAGGCTATCTGGTTGGGATCCGCGAGACGATAGCAACCGATGGTTAGAGACCTTGAATGACATGGCGCAGGTGCATCCGCTCTTTGTGCTCTCCTCATTTCTAATCTCCTGAATTCTTCATGTCCTTTTTTCTCTTTCCGAATTTATTTCACTGGATTATACTCCTTGAATAACATCTTCAAACCCTAATTTTTCCGATTACTGCTTATACATTTACTACCTCTACCACTATGGGATTTGAATCGACAATTGTATCTGGGTTTTAATGTGGTATGGCAACTTGAACTGATGTACGTACGTACGCACGTAGTACTACATTGTTGCTGACTGACTGAAAGTTTCACAAATATGGTAGAATTGGTGCACGACAAACTAAAATCTATATCTATTACTTATCTCCTCATGTTCAAGCGCAAAAGTTGGAATGCTACTTAATCACTTGAATGGGACGACTTATGAGACAACAGATCTAATAGTTGACTTATGTTATTGTCTTTTTATTTTCGTGAACCTCATACTTTCGTAAATTCTATTCTGATGTTTAATTGGTTCAGATCTGATCGCGGAAGTCCAAGTGAACGTGTGAGCTCTTCAAAACACAAACGTTCATCCCACCATTCGAGGCACAAACATTCATCCAGAAAGCATCATCACCGTGATTCCCACTGTAGTGACTATAAACACCGTTATCGCCGAAAGCATCGACGTCACAGTTCAACTTCATCTACCAGTTCATCTAGTGATACTAGCCCTGAAAGCAAACCTAGTCGGCGTGGAAGTCATAATGGTAGAAATTCAACACAACTCCTCACAACAAGTTCCAAGGATTATTTCGTAAGTCTGTCATGTATTATCTTCAAGAAATCTTCTTTGGGTACTTTAATTTAATATCCAGTAAACTTTATTTTTACCAATTGTCATCCCTAGCATAGTTATTGTTTTTGTGCTGTTAAGTGAAGCTCGAGTTTCAAGACTTGAATTGAAACTAATTGTTTGTAGTTACTAGTTGTTTCATTTTATGGACAACGCACAAAACATCAGCTTCTCTACATTCGTTCTTTTTTTTATCTTATGTCAATTTATCATCTGCTTTCCATAATCTCTTTCAGACTTCGCAACCGAAGCCAGAAAACCAGAACATTAACCTCATTATCTCAACGACGGGAGTCACCGTGACGACAAATTCTCCGGCAGTTTCTAGTCAAAGTACGAATCTTACTGTTTTAACCTATCAGTATTTCAGATCATAAAATTAGATTTTAGAATACAATTCATTAGCCACTGAGGAAAATGTTAATGGATATAAAAAAAAGACTAAAACAAGGAAACACTTCTGGGGTAACTAGTTGTTCGAGGATTAAGAGATTTCAGCTCAACATAAAAGTAAGGAATCATGGCATGTTCATTAGACGTCTAAAGCAAACACAATGTACTCACTAAATAATCTTATATCCCGATATGATTAGAACCTCACAGCGGAAGATCATTTTATGATGTACTTTACTTTTTAAAACTCGTCTAGTGACAGATTTACCATATTATTTTTCAACTCTGAAGCTATCGTAACAATGTGATATTCACCGTAGATATTACTACGCCGTAGTGTGATATTGCAAATAAAATTTTTGTCATTGGACTGATCAAATTGGTAAATGTGGACAATTGAGTAGCATAATTCTTTCAAAACCATGAATGGTAAAACGTAAAGTCTCTAATTGCAGGTTTATGAATATAGTCAAACTGAAATCAATATATATGTAGTAGGTCAATATGAAATGACAGTTCTTTGTATATCGTGCTAAATGTTTGTCCATTTTGTTCAATATATCCATTTGACAAACACCGTAGAGTCTCAATATCACGTCACACATGTCAAAAAACAAAGGTAACTGAAGTCAAAGATTTTACGAAGTCATTAAGATTTCATAAACTTGATCACTAGTATTTCATAAGATGCTATTCTTCCAAAATTTAATTACCTCGATGCTTTTTCGTCCAGGTACTACGACGAATGTTCCTGTGCAGCGGTTAACAGCACAAGATATATTAGACAAAATACAAAAGCATCAACAAGAGCAAGCCAAGGCTCAAGCATTAGCCGCTGCCGCCGCCGCGAAGCTCCCGAAATACTACAACCCAACCACTGTCAACGCCGTTAAACTCGCGGAGCAACAACAAAAGCGCAAATTATTGTGGTCCAAAAAAGATGGTGAAAACACTAGTTCTGTAAGTAATAGTCTATTTTGGAAAATAAGGTTCATTTTTGGTGTGTTGACTAAATCCTAAATGTTCATTGCGAACTACAAAATCTTTATTTTTAACCTAGGAAAGTAAAACTCTTTGGACAGCCACATCTTTAATTGCTGGAAAAGGTGATTCTGCAGCTGCAGCTAAATTTCGGAAATTGATGGGAATTCATGATTCTTCTGAAGAAGTCGTGGACGGAAGCGCTGCTCATGTCAATGAAACTGAAGCTTTGCGTCGAGCTGAAGCGCAAGCTGAACTTTTCCGGCGACTTGAACACGAATATGAGATGTCTCGTACCATAACACATACTCAGCGAGGCGCCGGTCTTGGTTTCAGTTCATCCAGCCATATCGATTACAATGCATATTCTGCTATGCAAAGTGAAAAAGACAAAAACCCTAATTTATGATTGTATTTATCTCACTAGAAATCACTTGTACAGCTCACCGATATTTTAAAGAATTTACCTAATTATTTTCAAACAGTTCAGTCATTTTTACTTATCGTAAATAACCAACGATCAAAACTGAATGTTTGAGGCTGATGAAGAAAACTATACCTTAAGTAGGTACTTTGTTAAATGATGTCATATACGCAAACTTAGTGTAGCACTGCATATATTCCAGACAACTTAAAAGTAATATGGTTAAGAAGACTAAATTGACTGAGGTAAAGTGAAGTACAGTTGATAGTTTTTTTAGTGTTAAAGAATCATTGCGGAATATAGCGCGGATATCTTATCAATTCAGACGTGAGACAGTAGCTGGACTGCTAAAGTATCCATACTTTCACCTGTTAACTTGAAGGTTCCGACAACAATGCATTTAAAACTAAACAGCACGGTGGTACCATTAATTCTCACAGATATGTCAATTATGCTGAACATTTATCCATAGAAGTATTTAATTTATTTCCATCCTTTTTTAGGTTTCAAATAATTTCTTAAAGGAGTGGGTCCATAAAAACACCTTATTATTAAAGCATTAGAATTTCTTAATTAAAAGGTTCTCATGAGACTATAATCATCAACCGATAAGTTTGTCTTAGCTACGGATATTCCTGTAATTGGTCTAAATGCAGTTATCACGTAAAAGTGTTAGGCGGACAGTCGTATTTGCGGAGGGCTTTTAGTGGGAAAAGGTATTTACTGAATAGGAAGGACAGTTATTGCTATCACATAAGCACTGATCTGGTACGAATTACCACATTCGAGCTGGTCCTCAAGTGCTGAATTTTATCTTTCAATCGAACAAGTCACTTAGAATAATTAAATTCAAAATTTAGAATTAAGATCTTTCCAGTGTTGCCTACATAGCAAAAGGTAAACCTACCATCCATGCAACTAAGCCTAAACATTATGGTGTTTTTTATCACAGAGTACCCGACCGTAGCTGCTACTTTGACGTGTTGATCGAGCTTGCCTATCGTGATGAGTCAGCCGAGCTATGCTGGCTGGAACATATGTTCCTGTAGGTTCTACCATGCCAGGCAGGTCGGTTGGAAAACAGTATGACAAAAAGCAGCAACTCACGGTCTGAGGGCGAAGTCGTACTGCTGACTGTAGAGGGGTGTGACAGCAGTAAGGTGTTTTCTTCGGACAACCAGCGTCTGCAGCGATACTGCCTTCTCACAAGGAAGGAAGGGTTAGAAAATGTCGACCCGAAGAATGTCATACCTTACCTCACGGATTTCCGCCTCCGGTGACAAGGCTTTTTGAAGAACGGAGCTAAAACGTTAAAAACTTCCCACAAAGGGTCCGTGCGTGACCGGCTTCAAGCAGTTGTCCCTTGGGCTCTGTGGTCACGCTCCCAGGTCGTTAAGACCAACATTAGCCCACCTTCCTTTTCAGGTTCCTCAAGAAATACCCTTCCACGATGTGGGCAGCCGGAAAGTGACATCAGCCCTCATACCCGTAACAACGCACGAGACCAATTTGGTCATGATCAAATCCTTCCCACACCTGATAACTTTCTTATTCTCACGTCTCCTTTAGGTACGCAAAGTATTTCCATTAAAACCCTTCTAAAGATATTTACTGACTAGTTGCTTGGATGCGGAACATATAAGTTCACATTTAAAAGCAATCATACTTCTTTAGATTTAACAAACGAGATCCGATGCGGGTTCATTAGGGGATGAGAAGATTTTGTCACAACTTCCCCCCGCCAACGTTCCAATTTAAACTGTTTACTTGAAGTTGAACTTTTTTGGGTCACCAATACTATTTTCCTTTTCCATTTCTCACTTTTGTAATAACTGAATAGACTATCAGTTGCTCTTTGCTTTTTATCGTGATATGTTTCCGAGATCTGCTGGCTTCCCCTAACCTTTTCGTTTAGGTTGCTTATAGAAGTCGCTACCGTCTTTCCAGCAAAAACCAAATCATACTAGATCAGCACATAATGAACATCCATTTTTTGGTCAGCTAGTTGCTTAAGCTAGTTCTTCCTTTACTGAGATAAACACTTACGAGCCAAATTATGAGGGGTTATCTTATTAGTTTTTCTGCATTTAGTAAGTTGCGAATGAGTGCGCGCTCAAACTGAAGCTCGAGATCCAGATATGTACAACAGAAATAGTCGTAATTTCCCATCAACCTCCCCAAACGATGACCGAGAAGGGTAAGTCTTATTTCTATCGTCTAATTAATATCGAGATTTCCGAGGACGGTCAGCATCTCATTTTTAAAAACATTGCCTGTTGAGAATAAGTGGTTGCATTTGACAGTCAATATCAACGGAGTAAAACACAAATCGGAACATGAGCGTTGAGGCCACCCATCATAATTACACCTGAGCGTATAGCTTTCTGAAGGATGCCAGAAATCGTTCAGTAGAACTCATTGAAATTTTATCCAGAGACCTTACGAAATTACAGCCTAACGACATAGAAATACTAGGATCAAAACACTCATTTCATGCAGACAAGTAGAATAATAAGTTGCAGACGGGAGTAATGATTATTCGTCATTTGTTTTTTACAGAATCATTTATTAAGGATGGAAGCTCTTCGAAAGTTCTAATTTCAGAACTATAATCTGATGATTTTATCTTCCATCTATAAGGGAATACATTTCGTATACGTTCATTAAAGTCGTTTCTATCCACTGGGTTTATAATGTACCACGTACATAAAGACAGTGCTCCCAGTGATGAGGTAGTTATAATTGTTGCTACTCCAAGAGCACGAGCAGCAAAATGTATACCAGATTCGTGCATAGTTTTGTCCTGATTAATTGCCTGTGAACAGTATAATTGAGAAAAATGACATAACATTAAAATTAGGTTGGAGAGTTGGTGAACTTTTGAAAGTAGGCTTGATAGCTTGGACATTTGCAGCGATATATTGTTATTTACATAAGCAATAATAAATTTTATAGTTTTTACGCCAAGTGATTTCAAATCAGTTTAGTGGTTCAGGACCAGTTCACCCGTTAGATTTATGTATGTACCACGTGGTTTCGGCATGAAATGGGTTGAATAAATTCGGCACTGAAGCTATCAAGATTAACCTAGCTATATATCAATGCAGAAGAATCGCTTTATAGAACGGTTCCGCTGACCCAGATATACTAAAACGATATTCCAAATCAACTTGATGCTCTTGTGTTTGCTATCCAAGCCCACATAGCTTATTCTAGCTTCCGGACAAGCAACTTATTCATTCGTCTTGAGTCACATTTTGACCTTGTCAATTATTCAGTTATCAATCTTTTTCATTTCTATGTAAGTGTATGTGTGTACATTTCTTATTTTACTCATCGCATCTATGGTACTTATTTTTGTCTGAGTATAAGTATGCATTCACGATTGGTTAAATCGAGTTGGCTCAATTGCCTTCTCCAATCTTTTTCGCTTCGTTTCACCGATCGTTTTATTTGATCAACGATTGTATGAATACACGTATTCGAAATTCATTCTTGTATTTGACTTGTTTTAATCCCGTTATTTACTGGCGTGAGTTAAGTTTATAATTATATACGAGGATTGGTGACATGTATATTTCAATAACAATCATTTATATGATCCAAATGGAGTGAGATCTTGGACCACTAAAATCTACCAAACATAACAGCTAGGAAAATGCACATCTTTTGTTCTTTTCAACATGTGATACGATGACTAATACTTCAAACTCAAATATGAGTTATGTAGGCAGAAAAAAGATAGGTTTATCACGACACTGCAGCACTCCATGAATATTTATCAAGTGAATGTAGTATATAAAATGATGATCCGTTAAAAGATAAAGCTACGTGAATGTAACGAGACTTATCATAAAAATAACTTGACAAAATAGCAAATGGTAGTCATGGTATGGTCCATTAGTTAAGAGACATGATATTGTTTATTCTCAACTTTTATCAAATAGATTAAAGTCAATTGTAATTAGAAAGATACACTAACTCGACTTCTTAAAAATCTCGATCTTAATGTCATTTCATAATTCTACTTTTTAACACCACTCATCTTTATTGATCCAGTTCAAAAGTTCACAAAACACCGGCCAGTAGGAATGATCAGAGATTGATAGTATTCATATCTGAATAAACTATAGGAATGGACAATCGTAGTGTGTGATAAAAAAGATAAGACAGCGAAATAACTTCAAGGTAAACTATCGAAAATTTTGAGAAAAATAAGAAAAAATCTTACTTGCATGAATGGTAATGGATTGACCTTCTTGAAAGATGATATTCTATATGTGAATCCTGCTATTAAAGACAGACCTGATATACCTATAAACGCACCAAAAACTATTTTTCTACTAATATAGCAAGATTTTCCTTACCAAGATAATTTGGCGGAATTTTTCGGCTTTTCTTATCCTCGTGTTCTGTCATAGTATCTGGTGTAATGAAATGCACGAGGTCGCTAAAACAGTAATAAATAACATTTAATTTAAGAAAAAACATATTTGAGAATGATAGAAAATAATCACTTTGTTAGACATTAACTATAACTAGAATATCAATGCAAATCTATACAGGGCTTACATCAGTCAGTTATGTGCAATGTAGAACCTAGCATATTTGTGGAGGGACTCAAGTTGTCACAACATAGCACATAGAAGAGAAATTATCAAGAAGAATTCTAAGGTACTAAAAGTAGTAACATTGTATGTATTAGTAGAAAACATTTGGAACAGACGATATGATTCCAGAAGAATGAATGAATTCGCAGAGCGAAATGTATGGGATGATTAAGAATTCAAGATCTTAGAAAATGCAAAACGTGAATGCATCTTAGCCATTATGAACAATCCGGAGACATGTCACATAGGTTCCGACTATTGGTTACAGTAATAAAAAGGAACCCTAACCAGTTAGTCTGCATCTAATAACATGGCTCGCTTCAACAGTCACTAACTTAAACGAATGGTTACATGTTTTACTCTTGCTGCCTTTATATATATATATATGGTCTACAAGGTAACAAGAAAATTAAGGAATCAATGTGGAACAAATTCAATTTGAAATCAATACAGTATGTTTTAATATAAATGAAATTTATTTCTGACGTTTACACAAATCACACAGATAAATTACCAATTAGAGAACAGAGAGAGGAAAATAAAAGAAATGCAAACTAAGAATGATATGTTTTTAGTCTTTGTGATAAAACGTTCCATTTTTAAAAGTGTTTAGTTCATGTCAAAATTATATTTAATAATGGAATATTATCACAAAGAACAATTTCACACGAATTTAATTATTCTAATGTGAAGATTTTTAATAAGAATAAAAACATCGAAGTTTATAATTAAGCAACTTGAATTGTTGTGTTTGGTTTTTTGTGCAATGTATTACGCAGATTTTCAATTTCATTCTCTTGTAAGTGTACTTCAGCTGTAGTTTCAGCGAGCTTTAAAATAAAAAGAGAAAATTTTACATAGTAATGTATTTTGGACATAGTATAATTAGTAAAAGGAATTTCTAGAGATTTCTGAAATAATATGAAATGACATTCATTAAACAACTAATGAAAACCATAATGCACTGAAGCGCTGTTTTATCCTATTATGGGACTCTTTATCAGTACAAATTCAGTAGATTTTGATTCGATGGCTTAGAGACTATGAGTTTGCCACGAGAAATGAAGGTTCTGAGTTGCCTTATTGGTGGGGTTGTTGATGTACTCTGTTGATGGTTCCTGTACTGGAACGAAGCAGCTGTTCAGTGCTTTCTGGATTTCAGTGGTAGTCTGAGAAAGGTCAGTTCTCAATATAAACTATAAAATAAGTTGAATTATGTATACTTGCACATAAGGATAATAGCAATCTAAACCTAAATAATACCATACCATATCTAAGAGTATGTCAATTTTCAACTTTAACAAATTATTTTCTTCAATTAATTGATGATTTTCTTTTTTAATACGAAATGTTTCACGACCTAATTGAGTTGCATTTCCAGATTCATCATTTAACACTCCATTTTCTCCTTCTGAAATGAAAAATATTTATAGATAATGAAATAACTTGGATAAAATAACAGCATTACTCACAAAAGACTATTACAAAAGATTAAGTGATACTAAACAAATTAAGCTACATTATTGATTTTCTTGTTAGTTAATTTAATAACCGCTTTATTGGGGATGTTAAATTCCTACATAGGATTTAGTAGATAAAAACTGAGTTACAGACTATATATTGTTTTATAAATTCACTTTTTATTCAGTTGAATTTCTTATCAATTTCGTGTGATTTCTGTCCATTCAAATTTGAGTTGTTTCAGTGTAATCTTTCATTCACTTGACTTTGGTTCAGTATGACGACTAATTGCGGAAATGCTTTGTGATTGTGCGCTTACATAACAGCTATTTAATAATTTATGTAACTAATAATTATTAAATTACTCATGACCCAGAGAAATACGATTTATCTTCTGAGGTCTTGTCCATTACATCTTCCTTACTCGAATCCTTTCTCTTCCACTGAGTGGGAGTTAATTGTTGAAGTGTTATGTACTAGTCGTCTGGTCTATCTCGTACGCGCTCGTGGTCAGAAACTTAAGCATTCCGAAACATAACGTATATAGATTAAATCAAGTCGATAACACAAACCTTATAACTCATAAGTCGTCTGTATTCATCATTAGTAGATGGTAGTTGAAATGACTAGTGCATGATATATATATGCTAAACAATACAACAAGAATTTATTTCAACTCCACTTTATCATTCATAAAACAGATTGTAATTATGTGAGAAATACAAGTTACTTTTGAAAAGTAATGATTTTTACTTTGGTCTGAACAGAACAACTAAAATTCTTTTTACTTTACATTTCAATAATAGTTGAGTATTAAAATGATTTCACATTAGATAACAGTGACCTTTAGTTAAAAATAATTTTTTTCAGAAAATCATAAACATATAAATATTTTTAGAAGGGGTTTGTGGAGATTTTAGAAATTTCACAGATTGAAATCATGTGTCAATTGAAGCTAGACCAGGTCTGTTGTGAGATATCAGCTCACTAAAGACAATGGTGTACAATGGCGCAACTTCGTGGATTGGTTGAAGTTTGACATTAGCACCATTGGATGCCGACTCAGTGGTCTAGTTTGTTAAGCGCTTGGCGCGAGACTGATAGGTCCTGGGTTCGAACCTCGCGGGGTGCGGGATCGTGAGTGCACACTGCTGAGAAGTCCCATACTAGGACGAAACGGCCTTAGAGTGCTTCCAGGTTTTCCATGGTGGTCTAGCTTCAACTGACTCATGATTTCAATCTCTGATATATTTCAAAAAAATATCCAGATAAATGAAATACGATAAATGTATATAGGGTAGAATAAAAATACCGAAGGAAAACGGATAACAGTAACCTAAACAATAATATGGAGATTTAAAATTGTTATATAATAACCCAATGGAAACTAGGTTATGTGATATGACAAATTTAATATTGTTCAAATTTAATCCAATATTTTTAAGGATGAAAGAAAAAAGGTGAACACTAAACCTACTGAGTAAAATAGACTATTCTTGTTCATATCATTACCAGATTTGATAATTTCGAATAAATTGAGCATTGGATAGATTGTTATAAATAAATCCATTAATATATTTGTAATATCCTAATGAGTGGAAAAATTAAAATTTCCGACGTTTCGTAACTCAGTGTGAGTCAAATACTTAATAGAATAATTTTATTATAATTATAACTTATTCTCTGAAGAACTGGTTTACACTGAGTTACAAAACGTCAGAAAACCTAATTTTGCTATTCATTGGGATATTACAAATATTTATTTTTTATTTTTTCAATTATTTTATTACAATACATTTAATTGGAAATGGTCATTTGACAAAATTATCCAGCAATAACATTGAATTCTTAATCTATGTATGAAAATTAAACATTCTCATAAAAAAATATATGTTACCGATTGTAATCCGATGACATACATTCAAGGGATAAGTCAACATATATCAATAATAGAGTTCTGGGAGTGTTGTCTACAGGAAATACATGTAAGAAAATTGCTACTTTTTTATCACGTAGCATTAATATAACACGAAACATAAGCAACCAGAAATATGAAGGCGTGTATGTATTAGAATTCTAGTGTGAAATTTACTACAGAGAGAATGCGAGTGCTTCATTGCAGAAACATTTCATAATATTCGACATTAATGCAAATATAATCAATTAGATTTGTCAGTAGAACAAAACATAATTTCGGTTTCAGTATATCTCCGTTCTACAATTGCACCTTACACACACGATGTTTATTCAATGTACTAAAAATATATAAAAACAAGATTGCTAGTCAATACGACCTCAAACTTTCAAGAATGTCTTTTATAAAAACAAAACTAATTATTATTGATATATAAAGAAGTATTGCTTCATAAGTCCAGAAATATTTGCAAATATATATTTAACATCTATCTTTTATTGTACTCATAGTAAATATGAAAAACATACCAATGATCCACTGTCCATTACGGAATACAAGATCCCGTCCACTTAAACGTGTTCTAATTGGTCCAAAATCCATGCTGAACTCTTGACTTCGCGTAGTTGAATCTAGATGTGATAAATTTGTCATACTAGACGCTTTTCGAGCAGGAAACTTTGGTACATTGAATTTTCGTTGGAAAAGAGGCATTTTTTGATTACAAATAACTAGCCAAAAAGTGGTTGATAACAGTATTCGATTACCTTGAAAAATCAAGTTTTTTTATATTACAATATAGATTGCGTAAGTAATAGGAACGAGACAAGACACTTTCAAAACAGTAGCGCAGTACTCTGTGAACACAATTCATGCTAAATTATGAACTATACTTTTCTGTTGAAGGCTGAAAATATTACGCAATATTACACAGTAAGAAGAGGAAGTGTCGATTGACAACCTAGTGACTACATCAAGGAGACATTCAGGCAATACTTCGGAAAACTTGATAACTAATTCTAAGATTAAATTTTTATGTTTGGCTTCGTATAAGACAGAAAAAAGACTCAATAATAAAAAAATGACAAATTAACAAAGGTACAAACAGAAATTAATTGAGTAATTGTTTTATTGACAACCACTTTACTGAAAGAAGGCGAAATGTTCAAGAGTATCTTTGAGCATGTCACAATGGTAAGTGTTAAATTTTATCCACAAACTCAGATTTTATTGCTTGTATGACTGCCTAGGTGTTGGACAGTGTGAATACAATTCTTTAAATACGGTTCTTGTTTTCATTATGTGAATATTTTGCAAAATACTGTTGAGATTTGCATGCAAAAACTAGTTATTTCAAACACTATAAAATGTTACAGTTTACAAACTTTAATTATTTTTTAGATCATTTATACTGCATCAAAAAGCAAAATTGTTTGTTGCATTCCCGAATGACAGTTACCAAGGTCATGGACAGATTATTCATCAAGTTGTATTACCTACTATTGGAGTCAATGCTTCCGACAATTGAATTAATTAAGGTGTTTACTCATACTTTGCATAACAAAGTAGATTATTGACAACTACCTAAAATAATTTTATATGGATAGCTCATGAGAAAATTCTTTAACAGAAAAGGACTAATTTACATGGTTATTCTAACTGACATATCAAATTAAAATTTTAGTTTTCAGAAGAAATGTTCTAAAGTAGTTAAAACAACAATATTCATGTGTAATCGTCAAGATATTGGCTGGATTTGTCTGTATCTATATTGTTCTCATTGAAACATGAAGCTAGTAACCATCCTCATGAACATTAGATTTTCATCTACCAAGCTGATAGATTATGAGGAATACCATTTGTTAAACAAGTATTCATCTTATTGCGAGTATTTATATATTTAAGACTGAATTGAATAATCACGTTAACATTCTGATTAATTGATTAGTGACTAAAACAAATGAACTCTTTTGTAAGCTGAATACAATGAAAAGATATGCTGTTGATAAAGAGTAGTCTTAAATTAGAGATTTTGTATATTTTAAGTATCTTGTATGATATGTTGATGTCGTTGATCTAATTCCTTTAAAATTATGAATGGAAATTACATCGAATAATACTAATATAATGAAATAAAATAAATTCATTATAAAAATGAAAGATAATATAATACAAACAATCATCATTGACAATGTTTTAGATTAAGAAAAAATAAAATTTCAAAAGAATACGATTTATATTTTACATCATTTTTCAGATAACAAATTGTAATTCATTAGGATGTAACAGCAAAAATAAAACAAGCAAAGAACTGAGCAAGTTCAAATCACAGTGGGATCAGTCAGGAATGAATATATACATCGATTTGATGAGGAAAGGATTTTTCGTATTATTATCTTTATTCATTCCATATAAGATGAGTAAATTGTTGTTTCAGTGATTGATGAAGAATTAGCAGTAGTCACCAAAAATAATCCAAAAATATATTTTTTTACTTACAAATAGTGATAATAATAATAATAATAATGCACATTATCTTTAGACGGACGGAAGAAAAATTCTCAAAAGTAATTATTTTCTTGATGCAGTAAACGCAGTTGATCATTGATTTGTGTATGCAGTGTCTTTGCAAGTAGGATAGCTATAAGCTAAGAAAGAAACAGAAAAATTTAAGGAAGTGAAATAGAAAAGGTATACAACTGTTAATAATAATTATATATATATATAATTAGATGGATGGTAAAAATGTCCTGAAAAAACAAATAGAGCTGTAAACTTTGAAATACAAAACTGTGGCCAATTATTTGTTTAAAGTATTTGCTACCGATTGTGTTATTATTATCAACATATAAAAGAGTCCCTAGCATAGTATCAGTCAGTCAGTCATCTACAACGTAGGACCAGACATATATATGCATCGGTCCAAGTTGCCACACCTCATTAACACAGCAAGATGAATAACAAATAGAAGTAGTTACTTCAATCGTAGTATACAATGAAAGTATAAAAATGTGAGTCATATGAAACATGAAAACTTCTAAACTAACGCAATAGAAGAAACCGAACAGCGATATATACATGAAAATATATATATAACATCAGACACAAATCAGACGTATATATATACAGCATAAAACTGTCCTTGAGAAGAGTTACAAAATAGTTTACTAAAATATACAACGGACCAATAGCGTTAAAGAGTCTCCCAAGTGGGAAATACATGAATATGAGAAGAGCGCTTTTGGCGCAAAAACAAAGAAATTCAAATGTTCAAAATACAATTAGAAAATTAAGATATTTACCAAGGGAGTTCTGGAAATCTAACATCCCCAACAAACGAGCAGGATATCCCTGGACGATACTACGAGTAAGGGACGGTAAGTTAACATTTCAGAGGCATCAAGCTTTTCTACTTTTAACAAGATCAGAGCATCAAGATATTATAACTAATACACAGTTAAATACGGCTGGGCATAAATTTATTACACCAAAAACTACATCACAGATGGTTGGTTGATGTTTACCAACATTTTACACAATAAGACAACTCTATTCCTTAAGAATCTGTGCTAAAAATAAAAGAAACTAACAATCAATCATCTGCAGACATTTAGAACTATTAAAAGAAATCACGGAATCATTTAAATATTTTAAATCCAGGTATTATACCTTTTACATATATATATATATATATATATATAGTGGACTAACCTGAAACACAGCTACGCTAACAAACCCATAAGCGAAATAGACTATGTTGCTTTCCACTGCATTGATAAGAGCATGAACACATCCAGTTGTCCATACCAAACGATTGGCTTCAGCAGTTGTTAATTTTTGTACACCAAATCCACACGATGTATTAATAATATTAACCTATGGTTGAGTGTAAGCATATCATTACAATTATTTCATAAATAGTTGATTTTAAGGCTGATATTTTATCATTATTATTTTTTCGATACTTAAATCTAGTAATAATTAATTCATTAACTTGAGTCTAGAATTTATCATGGACTGGTAAGAGCTGAATGATCAATAGTACAGTAAGCGAACTCTCACACAGGGGCATTTCTCTCGTGCTAGTTAGGGATCACTAATATTCAGTGATGCATAGCCACCACCACTCGTTAGAGAAATCAAACAAATGTTATGACGATAAGTTGTAGAGATTAATCCCTCTATATCTGACTTCAATAAATAATATGCTGTCAATTGAGTATTTACTCAGGCCAAATCTCCTAGTAGTATTATAAATTTACTCGAGATTATTCAGAAAATCAGTTGTAGGGATGGTGTATTTGAATGAAAATAAAGAGAATTTAGCGAAGAAAATTTTCATTTTGACAAAATCATTTACTTAAGCTATAAATACGAATATACAGATTAAGTAAATGATTTTGTCAAAATGAAAATTTTCTTCGCTAAATTCTCTTCATTTTCATTCAAATACACCATCCCTACAACTGATTTTCTGAATAATCTCGAGTAAATTTATAATACTACTAGGAGATTTGGCCTGAGTAAATACTCAATTGACAGCATATTATTTATTGAAGTCAGATATAGAGAGATTAATCTCTACAACTTATCATCAAAACATTTCTTTGATTTCTTATTCAATGACACAATAGACAGTGTATTGTCAATAATTGATAGAATCCGTAAGCACACAGGGAAGCAAGTGTAAATATCAAAAGAATACATAAATACTTAAGACTGCTAATCGATTGTTGATAAATTATTATTGATTGTTTGTGTTTACAACTAATGAGAGAATAGATAAAGATTGATGTACAAACATTCATCTAATCAAACTCACACAATTTTATATAGTAGGTCAAATGTCTAAATTACAGAAATTAGACAAATAATAAAAAATATTCTATGGCCTTAATATACTATACTTATTGTCAATATCATTTTATATTGATATAAGCACGTATAATAAACTGATAGTATCTCACTGATTGTAAGAACCGAATCAAGATAATAAATACAAGGGTATAAAATTGGTGGGAGGGGAATAATAGTTTAAGGAGAATCCTGAAGTATGTGATGTATAAAGATCTACTTATGTGTAACAAGTTAGCACATGGTATTCTATAAAGAATTGTAGGTATTGTGGTTACTAGTGCACAGTGTATTTGTTTATCAGAAGACTCAAGTTCTATTCAATCTGATGTTGTGATACTTGTGTTTACATACTTTTTGAATAATACTTTGAATTTACTAAGTTATGTGGATCTTATTAATACACACACGAATGGTATTTTACTTACTGAAGTGTATGTATGAAATGAAAGGTTTGATACTTCATTTTAAACATATTTTCAAAGTGAAAATCATGATGGAGGTTAGCTATACGAACGATATCTTAAAAATAATGAAAAGTATGCTCTTGATTTACGATTTTTCTCATCATAATGATGTACTGCAAGTGAGTTGTTTTGTTGTTTGTTTCGATGTGAATAGATTAAACCAATAGGAAAGATTAAAATGAATTTTTGACGATTTTCACAGTTACTAATGTATACACTTAAATAACGAGATTTGGATCTTCTTTGTAATGTGTATACTAACACATCTAATTTAAAATGGTGGATGCAATTTGTAGCTTAGATGGATGATTTTGATAGAAATTCGTTTTTTTGTTGAAACAACATATTGACAAAGAGATTTGTGGAAAAAGTAAAGTTGTTTTCTAGCGGAAGCCTGCACGCTGAACACTACTGAACTTTTCATTCCGCTGATAACCAAAGCAAAACTTAGAAAACGCACTTCATTCTTAAAGTTGATGAAGTAAAACACGACACATTCAAGTATTACATTTACATACTACCTTCTAATGATAATAACTAATAACAACAATATTAGTATGACTATGAGATGGTAAAATTGAAAACTGATAAGTAATCTATTTGAAGTACAAATAATAAAATTTTGTCCAGTTATAGAAAGCGAAAAAAATGCTTACACTGATATCATTCATTTGACGGCAACAAGAATATGGAACTCCACAAGCTTCAGGGCTTATATTAGATTTATCACATGAAAAGTATCGATTAGCTGTCCAATCAAGATATGACTTAGGTCCGCAACAATTAAGCTGAATGTAAATACACACATATATATATTGAAATATAATATTAAAAAACTTTTGACTAAACGATTACGTTTTCAAAAAATATTTAAAAAATATTAAGAATGAATTACTAAAAACAAACGTGTGATATTGCTGCCATGAAGATGGAAATCTGAATCGTGAAGTATAAACATCCGATTAAGATTCCAATTTTATGAATTTCCGGGCTCATAATGTCACTGAAATATATTACAATATAAACCTGTATCAACTGTGCTCGTTCATATTGCTTCACCCTCATTCTCTCCAATTCAACAACTTCAGAAATATGGGTGATATGAGATGACAAAAGAGGCCTTTGTGTTTTTTTATTAGTCATTTTATGGGCCTATTATCCTTCATGATGTGATGTTTTTTATTGGATGATGAATGTGTTTTTTTATAAATTTTACTAACCTTTATTACAATTGGTTTGAAATCCTACGGAATTTAACGATACACCTTTTATCAATAAGTCTCATTTGCCGGATTTGCAATATTTCGGAGCGACAAAATACTTAGAAACCGGAAAATATGGTAACAATGACAGTAAATGCTTGAAGGATTTTACTTTAAAATAGAATGATGATTCCGTCGGTAGGAATAGTAAGCTAATTCCTTAGTAGCTTTTGAGGTGCCTGAATGTTTCTGTAGAAAATTATTTGTAAAGTGACAAGACTATAGACAGTCAAAACACTGAGTTATCTGCATTGTCAGTAACCTATGATTATGACATCTTAAATGAAAAGTATTTAAATAAATGAATGATTTAGCTTGGCGAGTATTTCTTAAAGTCCTTTAAATGTAGAAGATATTAAGTAACAAAGTACTTCGTAATTCCAAAACAATTTCAGGATAATAGAAACATTCTATTGTTGTCTCATTTCTGGGACTTTGTGCTAAATAAATGGCCTCCCTAGAAATTTAGAAATACCATACTGTTTTTAGTTCTAAAGTAATTCAGTATATTGGAAGGAGCTATGCAAAGTGATCCGACAATGAATCCCCCTAACATTTCATTTTCATTACCGATAGCTTATCAAAACAATTACTCCAAAACCAAAACTTTAAACTCGAAATCATATAAATTAATTTACAGAACTTGATATAAGTCAACCAGATAGTGTAACAGAAGTCGAAGTGATTGTGGAATAATATGAAGTTAAAAATCATAGTAAGAATTGTAGACATTTTTGGTAAGAATATAAGTAGACATTAAGTCAGTCAGTCAGCTACATCATAGGACCAGGCACATATATGCATCGATCCAAGTTGCCACACTTCATTAGCACAGTGAGATGAACACCGGATTCATAGAAGCAATTAATTCAATGGTGGTAATATATAAAAGAAAGATTTTGTATAAGGATATAGTACAGGAAGAGAGAATTAGTTCATAGGAATAAAGATATGAAGCGATTTTAACCTCATAGTTTAAGGGAAGAGAGTGTGTACAAAGACGTCATTGTGATCGATTCTGAGTCATTTCACACAGTCTGCAACCATTGGTTACGATAGTCGCGCGGACCCCCAACCAAGTAGTCTGCATCTACCAACATGGCTAAGACTAGAAGTTAGTGACTTCAAGTACTGATGCCACGTTTTGGTTTGACCGCCTCTAACTTCCTTCCAACCATCACCAACACTAGACAGCATTGCGCGTTGTGGTGATCGGTGTTAATGTATACATAACACAGAGCCCAACCATCTCAATCGGTGAAGATTCACAACCTCGCCAACCGATTTACCACCATTCCCTAAAACCCTGCGTCTAACCTCACTATTACTTATCCAGTGATCCCAGCAGTATTTCTAAGGCATCTGTGGTCAAATACTAGTAGCTTACGAGTATCCTTCACTCTTAATGACTACGTTTCGCAGCCGTAAAGTAGAACAGAACGAACTGCCGCGCAGTATACTCGTCCCTTAGTTGACAGACGGATATGTCGCCTTCGCCCTAGGTGACGTAAGTTGGCAAAATCTAAACGAGCTTTTCGATTCCGTGCTGAGATTTCGTCAGACACCAACCCATTAGGGCTGATCAGACTTTCAAGATAAGTGAAGTTGTCGACACGTTCGACTTTACTCCCTATCCTCAGTTCAGGTGTTGACGCAGACCAGTCCTGAAGTAACAACTTGCATTTAGAGGAGGAGAGGCGCATCTCAAACATTCTAGCATTGTTTCTCAGGGCTACCAAAAGACTGCATTTTGTCAGCATTTTCACCAAACAGGACTATATATCATCCGCGTATTCTAAGTCGATAAGTGGACCTCCTTGTAGGAGATCAAGAGCGTTATCTCCATCAATAGGTCTATGATGAAGTTAAACAAAAATGGAGCAAGTGAACGGCCTTGACGGACACTACGTTAGGTTACAAAAGCAGATGACAGTTCGTCATAAGCTCTCACTCGACTGATAGTTTTCGAGTAAAGAACCTTCACAAGGTTTACGTACTTCTGAGGTACTCCTTTCAATGACAGACAGTGTTGCAGAAGCTCTCGGTCTGCGGAGTTAAATGCTGCTTTCAAGTCAAGAAATACCATGATTGTCGGACGCCGATAAGCATGCCTGTGTTCTAGAACCTAATGGATGGTGAATATGTGATCGGTGCAGCCACGACCAGGTCTGAAGCCAGCCTGATTTTCTCGTGTTTGAAGTTCACAAGTCTTTGTTAGGCGCCCGATAATTATTGATGCTAGTATTTTAGATTATATGTTAGTCAAACTAATCTCTCTATGGTTGCCACAGGATGATTTTGACCCCTTCTTATATATCGAGACAATAAGTGATTGCCACCAGTCAGATGAGATTATGCCCAATTCCTGGATTTTAGCTAGTATATTAGTCAACCTAATCGCTAAATCTGGATCACCAGCCTTAAAGTCCCCTGTAGCCAATCCATCTGGGCCAGATGCTTATCCTCGTTTCAGATAAGCTATAGCCTTTTGAACTTCAGCTGGAGTCGGTGGACCTACTTCAATGTTCTATTCACGCTGTCTGGGAACCACGGATAGTTGTAGAGTAGGTAAAGGCCAGATAAAATATTCTCTAAATTGTTCCGCCTATCGTTCTAAACGTCTATTATTATTATTATTGCTATTATTATTATTATTACAATCATTATTATTTAAACACAAATACTGGTACAGTGGGGCACCAGATACATATGCGCCACACAAATCTTATTTGATTTGTGTGAGGGCTGTGATACTACCCAGGTGCCCAAACCGAAGCAGGTGGTTTTCTCAGGGGACCACACCCGGAGCCTTCGACCTAAAGGTCCGATTCACAAGACAGTGGAGCATCGTAAGGAGATGCTGTCCCATGGTAGCTGGTGACCAACGATTGGTTCATATACCATTTGTTCCCTCAGGGTACTGGAGCCCTTGTGCACCATTGGTTTGGAACCAGGGTTTTTCAACTCCCCTAGGTGGACTCCCTGTATCCACCAACCCGGTTAAAGCGCTGGACATTCGCTCTTCGTCCTCTCAATTCCGTAAACAACACCCCCTCCACGAGAAGGCAGTGAGTAAGACTTCCCTAGCAGATGCTACATACGCGTGGCCATGTGAGAGCATTTCGAGAGGGAGAGCAGACTCTCCCCACTATCGGCCGTACCAGGGCAACTGGGGGCTCCGAGATATTCTCACTTACACCTGGCCTCTTAATTCGTTTCTTTTATTAGTCTGAAGAGCTGTCTTGTGTTACCTACAGTCGCCGCCTTTCCCATCTCTTTTGCTTTCGTTACCCATTTAAGTAAAGGTTTTTCTGAAGGGTGATGTACGTCTTTTTAGGACAGATTGCTCCACAAAGACCTCTGGATTAACAGAGTGGGGATAAGAAACATAGTCACGGTTGGATATTGGCAAATATACTTGATGAAGAATAAATGCATGGTCTATAAATCCAAAGTTAAAACATTAAATCAACATGATTTTCTTCGGTTTGGTGTTTTTGAGCTGGTTAGGTATTGTGTAGTCACGGTGTAGTGAACAAGAACACGGGTGGGGACAATCGATTGTATTTAGCACAAAAATTACAGACTATCTCAATAAAATGTGAATACCATAAAGTCAATCGTCAATTTGCAAAATATCATTCCATCATATCAAACTGTACTGTTCCCGTTGCAAACACTAATCCATTGTCTCCCATTCCATTGTACATGCGTTTTCTTACAATTCCATTGTGTTCTCGCTCTTCCTTTCTTGATCTTCGCCATCTTCTGCTGCCGGACATTACGTTCTTTTAACGCACGTTATATACTACTTATATAAGTAGCTCACACCACAGCGGAACTTATGAGCTTATAATGTATGTTAATCACATTGATTTTCACCGTGATTACCACACGAGTTTGTGTCCTTTTTTGGTCTCAAAGGATCAGAAATCAAAACGTTAGATGGAATTGAACCCAACTTCCAAATTCGAAAAACATTTCATTGGATCTAACTATATATTTTGAACCAGGATTCTACAAAATATTTGGGTCTAATCCAATAGAACTTGGGAGAAAGGTGGCTATATTCTCTCCGAATTCCCTATGAGTAAGCTGTCTGAATTTATTCTTCTGTTCAGTTTGTTTGTGAATAGTGGACTACAGAAGCGTAAACGGAGGTCAATTAAAATGTTCCACTCAGTATGAGAATGGATAAGTAGTCTTACTTTCTGAGTTTCACTAACTTCTAACATTTAATTGCAGTTCTTAGAGATAAATCTTAATCATTGTCTAATGTTGATTATTCCTGAAGCTTTATTCTATCGTTTTTAATATTTCACTCACCACTAAGATATTTAACGTAGGCCAGAAAATGGAAATCCTAACTTTATATTTGAAAACAAGAATCAATGAGAAACTCATGAAATAAAAAAAAAGCGCGTTAAGGATAACATGACTTAAAATCAGGCAGATAATAACACATGCCTAATTTATGGAAATGTAATAAGTTAATCATATTATTTTGAAAGAAAAAATGCAACTCAACTCAATAAATACATTAATGAATAGTTTAAAATACCTCTTTTTGAATAAAATCCATAAAGTTTGTTGTATCCTCAAATCCAATTTCTCTATATTGAATAACAAAAGTAGTTTTGATTAACTCTTCAAGCCTGTGGACAGTTGATTCACGGTACACAAAGAACAATACGCAGCAAACAACCTCTGTCAGAAAAAGCAACGTTAAAATGAAGTAATACTATGAGACAAAGTAGTATTATTGAATAGAATTTCTTACAAATCTCAGCAGACAAGTGTTTTCACGTAAAGATCCGACAAAACCAGCCAGTGAAACAAATAAGGTTATGACCCCAACGACCATAAAAATTACGGTTAGGTTGAAAAGCCAGTGCAATGCAATAGTTTTAGATTTCCATGGTATACCTCCCGACTCACTAAATGCGACCATACCGAACACAAGAAACAATGTTCCAACAGCCTGAAAGTAAAACATAGATTTAGTTCATAAAATTACTAAGAACTTAAAAAAACATAGATTTTAATAAGTAGTTATGACATAAAACCATATAGTCCGAAGTGTTAAAACTTATTACTAATCCGAAAATTCATAAAAAAGTAGGGCTAGAAGGTAACATTGCCATATAGCCTAGTAGTCTTGAAATCAGACGTTTTGTAGAGATGTTCCAAATACGGAGATACCATTTATTAGCGTTAGTTTCCAATCTGAAACTCAAAACAAAGAGATTTCCCATTCTCGTGGGAATATAAAAAATCGCAAGGTACGTTACAGAGGTGAGCACAAGTTTGGTAAATGTTCATCCTGTGGTATATTTCATTGACGTAACTTATATGTCTTTCATGACAGATGCCTTAAATGTGGTAAAATGGGACATATCTATTCGGTTTATAAAACTGCTATTCATTTAACCACTAAGAATTATGAACATTGTAGTTCAGCTTTCATTAAGTTGGGTGCTTCTAATTATTATTAATCTTCATCCACGATTTTGACAGGTAATTGACATATTCGGAAGCGATTATATTAACTACACTGGTTCATTTCATGACTTTATTTGTTGACACAGGCAACCCAGTTAACGGCAAATGTCCCAAACCAGATATGAAGCGACTAGTTTTACTGACAAATGCACCATCGAAAAATATTACAAAACTACGTTCAGTAGTGGGTACTCGTCAATACTATTCCCGTTTTATTCCTTATTTTTCTTTTCGGGTTGATTGTTTATTTCACATCTCGGTATCCAACTCATTTAAACGAGGTGAGGAACAACAGTCATGCCTACGAAGTCTACTCAAGTTTTTTCGAAGTGATGCTGTTCTTCGAACTTACTCCCCTAGCGTACAATATGTGTTTATTACTGATGGGTAATGGTGAAGTTTTGGAGCACAAAGTTACACCTGTTATCTGTGTTTCACGCAAACTTACTGTTGCTGAGCAAGGTCATTCACAAACTCAGCGAGAGGCATTAGCTGTATTTTGGGCTTTTAAAAGGCTTCATATATATTTATTTGGAAAGAAATTCACTAGTGTTACAAATCATGAAGCTTTAAAAGTTCATTTATCATCCTGAAAAATCCTTAGCACATTCGTCTGTTTGTTAGTGCAACCTTCACCGGTGAGACGTCCAGATCTCATTATAGAAACTCCTTGACACCCTAAATGTATACTAAGTGCCATACGGAAAGGTTGGAATGCTAATCTGCAATGTAGACGTCCTATCTATTTTTCAAAGCGCGATGAGTAATCCTCTACTCCTGACGGTATTTTGTTTTTACATGATTATGTTGTTGTTCTCTCATTACGTAAATCCGTCCTTAAAGGTTTTCATAGTGGAATAGTTGGATGTTGAGAAAATGAAATCCTTGGCAAAATTCATATGTTGGTGCCGGATATAAGTGTAGATATGTCGTAAAGCAGGTAATTGTGGTGGATGTCATAAGTCGAAAAATCATCCTTCGAAGTGAACTCCATGATCAGTATCGTTTGAGGCCTGGTAGGGAATTCATGCAGACTGTTGTGGTCCATTTCTCGACAAATACTATGTGCTTGTTGTCACTGATTGTTTTTCTGAGTGGCCTGAATATTTTTCACGTCATCGAATTCTGGCTCCATAATCCAAGTGTTGAGAAAAGTGTCCGGTCCAGATGCAGTACCTATGATATTAGTGACTGATGATTAATCTTACTGAGGACGCAGTTACTGTCCCGTTGGAAGGTATACCCTGAAAATATCGGTTAACTGCTCGCAGACACTCTTGTTCTGATGTTCAGGCAGACTGTTTTATCAGAACGTTGAAAACTGCTATTAATTTCATTAATGATACAACATTTGATGAACTGGCGAGGAGAGTAGATGTTTCTACTGCAACATAGTAATGATAAACATTCTGCAACGAGAGACTCCGTCAAACTTACTAAAAGGAGGTATTTCCCTTTAACTATGAGGTGTTTAGAGTCTGAAGAATTCACATATTATCGTGGCAATTAACTTAGACCAGCTACGGGGATTGTGACGAAGAATGTTGGAAAATCTATAGTTCAAATTCTAGATATAAGGTATTTAAGTACACAACCTAAATGTTGATCAAATACGATCACAGAAACCATGTGAGTCTGTTCCGATTTCGGTTATTAATTCTAATACTAATGAATACATTATAGATCATATGGAGTCTGCATCTGCTACAGTCTGACAGGCACACGATGAACCTAAGAATAAGAAATACAATCGATTACAAAAATCTGGATTCCCATTTAAGCAGTGGCGGATGTGGTATTCGTACGTACGAATGATTCTTTTGTGCTTGATTGCTCACTAATGACGAATTCCAAATATATGTTCATTTGTGTGTATCTAGTTCTACCTGTCTTAAATTGCACTATTTCGGAATTATTAGTACATTAATTAGAATATTTCTAATTACCATAGATGCATACCTTTAAATAATGTATTATTACTATTACTTGGGCACAAATACTGGTATAATAGGGCACCAGATACACATGAGCCACACAAATCTTATTTGATTTGTGTGAGGGCTGTGATACTACCCAGGTGCCCAAACCGAAGCAGGTGGTTTTCTCAGGGGACCACACCCGGAGCCTTCGACCTAAAGGTCCGATTCACAAGACAGTGGAGCATCGTAAGGAGATGCTGTCCCATGGTAGCTGGTGACCAACGATTGGTTCATATACCATTTGTTCCCTCAGGGTACTGGAGCCCTTGTGCACCATTGGTTTGGAACCAGGGTTTTTCAACTCCCCTAGGTGGACTCCCTGTATCCACCAACCCGGTTAAAGCGCTGGACATTCGCTCTTCGTCCTCTCAATTCCGTAAACAACACCCCCTCCACGAGAAGGCAGTGAGTAAGACTTCCCTAGCAGATGCTACATACGCGTGGCCATGTGAGAGCATTTCGAGAGGGAAAGCAGACTCTCCCCAAAATCGGCCGTACCAGGGCATTTGGGGGCTAGGATAAACGAATAGTCATATTTAAACCCGAGCATTTTATTTCTATCAAATTTGTTGCATTGGAACATTTTATAGTACGGTACTAGCCTGAGTTTGGGATTATCATTTTCTACAAATTTACAACAATTTATCAACTTTATTACACAGCACAGTAAAAGGGGGACGCTCTGGTAAAAAATGTTTCTCTTACTAGACAACTATAATTTCTAAGACGGTAATTATTGTCTTTTCGTATGAACTTAACCAGTAGTCTGAGTTGAAAGTGGTTTTCACAAACTGAACTGGAGACAACTACATATATGTAATTTGTACAATTTTTAGCAGTGTCCCGTGATACATTCACAATTAAGTGACGTGATCATCGCAATTTCTATCCCATGCCTTTTTAACATATTTAAGTTAAATTTACCGGCGCATAAAATGCACTTACTAAGAAAATGAAGTTCGCCAAGCATAAAGAATACTTAACCCATTGGTTGATGTAAGATATTCTACCACCAAAACGTCGATTATACCTATGGCCCATTTAATGCCAAGAAAATGTATCAAAAACGCTGATATTTGGGAACCAGAATTGTTCAACAAGACAAGATCTGAAAATACAAAGAGAAAGTTCTCAACAGAGAATTTAGGTTTACAAACAGGAGTAAAATATGAGCGACCGGCATCAAATTCTGCAATATCTACATGTACAAGGACTTTTATTGTTTATAAAACTCATCCTAAACAACCACGAGCCTGATATGAGTATAGAGATGTTTGACGATTCAAATATCTTATGTGTACAAGAGGAATAAAGGGTCCGATAGGTTTTGTCTTATGGCATTCCTTGACTACCAGTACTGTACACACAACTAGCACGTTTTACCTCCGTGTTCAGCTGACGATGATATATCATTCTAAAACACCACTTTCCACAGACATACTATTCATTTTACTTTTCCACTAAAGTGGATGATGTACATCATCAGACGTAATAAACCAAGCGTTCAAGACCGTTAACTACAGTACAACTCGCAAAATATTTCGTTTATATTAAATAAGCCAACTTCATTACTTTTTAAGACGGCTGTAAATTATACGTTGAAACAATGCTAACAAGAGTCAGGTAAACAACACACAGCCTTGAGACATTAAAGATTCCTCTCTAGTTTCCGATGTTATCAATGAACAATATCTTTGTTATGAACTAGTTTCAATTTCAATTAGGAAAGGATGGAAGCTTGGGTTTCCTGTGTTAGTCCTTGTGACAGTGGTCTCTTAGTCTATCCAACTTTTTTTAACTTAGTCAATAGATGGAGCTTCGGTCAGGTGTTGAGATAAGGATTTTCACTAATTGATTATTCGATTAGAAGGTCGATAATCCGCCGAGAAGTGGTTTTTTCCGCTCTCGTGGATTTTTAGTTTCCTCACAAATTGTCTGTCTTGAAAGACGGGGGGACTGAGGTCTTGTTATTTGGAAATTTATCATTCAGTAATTTAAATACTGCGATCAAGTCACCACTAGTCTTTCTATTTGGCAATGAAAATAAGTTTAATTTAGCCAGTTTCTCTCCATACAGAAGCTATGCAATTCCAAAAATTACTTAGGTTGCGGTCTCTTGAACCTTCCCTTGCAGCTCATTTTTTTTCCACGCCTTGACTGTATATACAAAACTCGAGTTTACGACTCACGAACACTGCGTACAAAATCAAAAACGTTTGAGTATCAACGTGGCTAAAAGCTTCATATATTGATCACAGGGTTCTCAAAACTTCGGCAGTCATTGTGCGAAATTCTGTAGTAGTTTTAACATACTGGCCAACGATGACTCTCAGGTCATTGTGTCTAGGCAACAAATAGATCGTTGTTATTCGATCTGTATATTTCTGTACCTTGGAAGCTCATATGTTTTACAATGCACCTGGAGCATTTATCGGCAACTAGCGAACCTTAGACCATTCAGGTAATTTATGAAGATCATTTTAAAGCTGTAAACTATCCCCTTCGCTTTTTTATTGTCATCCATATCTTCATCATACGACAAAACCAGTGGTATGAGACTAAGACGGTCATTAACATACGGGATGAGTTGTACTGTCCCCACAGATGTACCCTGAAGCACTCGACTGAGCACCGTTCATCTAGACAACTCATAGCAAAGCCGTACTCTTTGTTGATGCCTAACTACGGAACTTTTTGTCCATAAAGTAAAGTAGCAGCAAATAAATCCCCAAATTTTAAGCATAGCATGTCTTCTAGAAATTGCAGGAAATCTTGTGGCTTCCCAATCTTCGAATCGTCCGACTCTAGCGACGCCCCAGGAAACGTCTCAAACGACACGCATTGATGACAACCGTAGTCGGCGGACATAATTGTCAGTTGTACATCACTGGTGAGATGACGAAGTTTGCTACTTAATCGACACGGGCGCGGAAGTTGTGGCCTCTACGGAACATTCTAACGACCGTCTGCATGAACCGGTCTCCAACTCACAGGCAGACAATGGAAAACAGATCAGTATATACGGTAAGCGATATGTGTATCTTAACGTGGGTTTATGTAAACCCATCCACTGGGTCTTAGCTGTTGCAAATGTTTTGTGCCAGTCATCGGTATAGACTGACTACAACACCATAACCTACTCATCAACACGCACAAATGGGGGTTAGTAGGATAAAACACAAATTTATCTGTTTGTGTAACTTGTTTTTACGGTTGTTGATTGTCCTCAGTCATAGTACGGCACACGATCGATCCATGCTAACAATATATACTCTATAAGTACCTCTGTAGTGGCATTGGACAATAGCCACACAATCCACAAAGCTGTGAACACGAGACTACTCAGAAAATAGATATTCAATATTTAACTCGGGGAAATACCCAACAATGGAGAAGGCGCGAACAATGAACTGAATGGACTGAAGTTGGTCGAGTGGCATGGCTCGTCCATGCAGGCGTGGTCCATCTGAGTGTTACTCTATATCTTCTATTCATACTAAATATATTGTTCTTTCTCTAGCCTAACCTTGTTCTACATCATGTATTGGTAATTGATACGATACAGTGAGTTGGTGTAGTCGATGATGTGACTTCCACGTAAGATCTTATGGATTAGGCAGTTATATCATGACAAATCTACAATTTTAGGATTAGGTCTCTTATTAGAGCAGTACTAATATCATAGTAGACCATAATTCTACACCTCAATCCATTCCAAACGCGACCAAAGTCACAATGTGCAACCAGCAACCAATGTGCAACACATCACATCATGAATAGAAGACCACCTGTATTCTCGAAAGCGCGTCAATCAGCTCTAGAAAATTCGAGGTTGGCTAAAGACGAATTCGACCAAAACATAGGCTTCGGAATCATCCGGCCATTTAACAGTCGATGAACATTCACCTTGCACATGATTCCCATAGAGAACAGCATCGATTGGCATCCAACTAGTGACTTTCGGTGACTGAATACGAAAACCACTCCAGGTCGTTACCCGTAGCCACACACTCACCGTTTGACAGGTACCTTGAAGGTAAAGCTATTTTCTTGAGCATCGATCTGGTTATATCATATAACCAAACTCCAATGGCTGCAGACGACATTCCTAAAACTGCTATCCTCACATCCGTCGGACTCTACAAATTTTCGCGCATGCCTTTCAGTTAAGAAATGTTGTGAAACTTTCCAGGGATTCATCGACAACGTCTTTCGAGGTCTCAGTTTCGTACACGCTATGTTGATGACTGTTTGACTGCAAGTCCGGACAGAGAATCTCCCCTCCAGCATATGGGCCTTGTTTCCAAAAGACGGCAATATTGTAAACATTCACAAATTTCAAATTGGAACCGAGTCCCTAAATTTTCTCGGACACACTAGTGATGCTCAAGACATCCGACATGTGAAAAGCAAAGAGACGGTCATTCTGGATTATTTGGAAACAACCACAGTCAAGCAACTATGCATGTTTAACGGCCTAGTTAGTTTACATCGACGGTTCACACTAAGAATAGCACGTCTCTCATGGGCCCCTCAACTGACCGACTTCGTGGAAATGCGGAACTCATCAATTTAGATGACATCGCGAATAAAGCGTTCTACACGTCAAGGAAATTACCGCAAAAACAGCTGTACTCGCACACCAGGATATCAACGCACCCTCTAGTTTCGCAGTAGATGCATCGGAATCGGCGAATGGGGGAGTCTTACAACAATAGGTGAACAACAGCTGGCAACCTTCGGAATTCTTCTCTAGACGATTACTAGACACTGAGCCGAAGCACAGCACTTTGGGTTATGGACCTCTAGCTATGGGTTGTGCTGCACGGTATATTCAACACCCCATTGAAGACCGAGAATTCACTCTGTTCACCGACCACAAACCTTCCACTTTCTCTCCTAGCTAATCTTCGGATAAGTTCTCACATCTAAAGTCTCGACAGCTGGACTACATTTCACAATTCATTTCAGTCAAACAACACGTTTCTGAGGCAAATGATGCGGTGACAGACGCCTTGTCATGTGTAGCCTACTTGGATAGTTTCCAAGAGATCGACCTACTTAAACTCGCCCAGCCTGAGAAGTAAGGCTCCGATCTCCAACACGAGTCATCTTCGACAACCCTAAAACTGCGTATTAAACATATGAGAACAGGTGGAAAAATGAGGGAGGGTTATGCTCCTGTGTAAGCTGCCATAAATCTAATGTGGTTAGATACGTTAATATCCCTTAAGTTTTTTTGAAACTCCCGACGCTTGTTTCGACCATGTTCATCTTGACCCGGCAGGACCTTTACCAAATTCGAATGTATGACCTTACCTCTTAACGTGTATGGATCACTGCACACGATGGCTGGAAGCAGTACTCCTCAAGGACATTGCTTCTGGAACAGTAGCCCGCACCTTCGTCGAACGATGGGGGACAAACTTCGACTGCCATTCAACTATTATTACAGACTTTGAACTCCTGCTTGAACTAGACTTTTCCGTTGTCTTATCACATTACTAGGAACCACATGATTCAGAATAACTGCCTTTAACCGACAGACAAACAGGTTGGTAGAACGATTTCCCTGATAGTTAAAAGTCTCAATTTCGAATGCAATTGTTTCAAAGTGAACAGACGCTCTCCTAATCATGTTACTCAGTTTCCGCACTTCAATGAATGCTTACATAGATTACACTGCAGCACAACTAATTTTCGGAATGACATTTTGACTTTCAAGAGAATTCATAGATTCTTCATCTTCTCCGATGGATATGGATTTAAACTCTTACACGAACAGGCTTACAAACATGATGCGTTCTGTTAAACTTGTAACTCGACCTCAGTCAATCGATAGCTTAGTTGGAGCTGCCCTACGATATAGTGCACACATTTTCATACTTCGCCACTCATTTCGATGACTTGTAACAGCTCAGGTTGGTTGGTTAAGAGTTGACCCCAAACAACCAAGCTTATGCCAAAACAGTATTGTTCAAGTATTCATTCACTTCCTTATTTTTCATAAGCGTTATATTCCCTATTATCTTGAATGTTGAGAGCCTTTGTTTGTCTGAACAGATAATCCCACGCTCCACTGTGACTGCGCGAAGATCGAAATAAAGACCTATTCACTACTTCTCTGGTTTCTTCTATCAACAGCACGAGGGTTACCTTAAGGCACGAAACTGGTGAGCCCTTTTTGAACACAAATTTAACCTCATTTCTGTTATTAACATTTTTTTGCTTAATCGTAAAAGTAGACCTGATTATCCGTAAACTAATTTGAGTATATAACTAGTTTATTCCGTATTATCTTAAGTTATTCGTGTTATAGTAACCACTTTTTGTGCTAACTTTATTGCTATATTTGTCACATACCTCATGTCAGACTCAATAGAAACCCATAATCTGGAGGATTTGTCACCAGTGGAGATAGACACTGTTATGACTACGAAATCCCGACTTCCAGAATTTGATCGTAGTGATCCTGAGTTGTGGTTTGCTCAACTAGAGCATTATTTCACGAGACACAATATCAAATCTGAAGGGATTCGCTTTAGAGACTTGTGTTCTATCCTTCCTCCTTCAGTCGCCAAAGAAGTCCGTGACTTGATTTTAAGTCCACCATCACCACAACTATACACCATCTTAAGACGAGAGATAATGAACCGTTTATCATTATCAGAT